CTTTAGCACTGTTCATAGGTGATAAATGGGTGATAAAAGGGTGATAGAAAATGCTGTTTGTGTTTTTGTTTAGTTTTCTTGTGTTGTTTCATTTCTTTTACACTTCTTTACTCATTTTTAGTTTCCATTTTGCATTTGTGCATTTGTGGTGTGTCAATTAAGTGTTCTTTACGTACTCAAATTAGAACTTATAGGAAGCCGACAAGTTCTTCGTGGGATCGACCCCGTACTTACATAATCTATACTTCAATAGATTCGTGCACTTGCGGGTATTTTTAATTGGTTGTTTGCACATTAATTTGTGTCCTCTTAGGAATGCAACCGTCACAAAATTCTTGATCCACAATCCTTGCCTAGTTGCTTTGAAACATCCAATAAATTCAGCCTCCATAGTGGATGTAGATATAGAATTTTGCTTTTTGCTTCTCCAAGAGATTGCACCTCCAGGCAAAAGAAAAATATATATCCATTTGTGGATTTTCTGTCATCCACACAGCCAGCCAAATCTGAATCTGAATAGCATGTGAGCTCCAAATTGTCATCATGACCATACATTAACATAAGGGATTTAGTATTCTTTAGATATCTCAGTACCTTCTTGGCTAAAACCTAATGTGGTTCACTAGGATTTGCTTGAAACCTTCCTAATACACTAAGTGCAAATGACAAGTGCGACCTAGTACAGATTTGAGCATACATCAAGCTACCCACAAGAGATGCATATGGTTTATTCTTCATGTTTGCCTGCTCTTGTTTAGTCACAGGACATTGGTCCCTTGAAGGCCTATCACATTTGCCAATAGGAAGATCTCCAGGAGAACAAGCCTCCATATTAAATCTTTTAAGTATCTTGTTGATTTAGTTGTGCTGAGACAACCCCAAAAGCTTTCTTGATTTGTTTCTCATAATTTCAATGCCCAACACATAATGAGCCTCACCCAAATCCTTCATATTAAAACTATTAGATAACATAGTCTTTGTCTCAAGTAGTAACTGAAAATCAGAACTTGCGAGCAAAATATCATCAACATATAAAACCAGAAAAATAAACCTGAATTTGTCGACTTTGAGGTAGATGCAATGATCAAGTCTGTTCTCTATAAAACCAAAAGGTGTTACCACTTCATCTAACTTGAGATACCATTGCCTAGAAGCCTGTTTAAGATGATAAATGGATTTGTTCAACTTACACACACAATGCTCTTTCTTCCTTTCAACAAATCCTGGAGGTTGCTGCATAAAAATATCCTCCTTAAGATCCCCATTTAAAAAAGCAGTCTTGACATCCATTTGATGCAATTCAAGATCAAAATGGGCTGTCAAGGCCATAATGATACACAGAGAATCCTTGGAGGATACTGGGGAAAAGTGTTAGTGTAATCAAAACTTTCTCTGTGTGAATCCTTTAGCAACCAGTTTTTCCTTTAGCCTTTCTACTCTTCCTTGTGTGTCCCTTTTAGTTTTAAAAACCCATTTGTATCCTATGGGTTTGCTGGAAGAAGTGAAATTTGTCAAGGTCCAGACACCATTTTTCGCCATTGAACTTAGCTCTTCCAACATTGCATTGTGCCATAAAGGAGCTTGAGCACTCTTCATAGCCTGACCAAATGACTTAGGATCATCTTCATCGCCAATATCAAACTCTACTTCTTGCAAATAAACCATATAATTTGCTGGTATTGCAGATTTTCTTGCCCTTTGAGATCTTCTTACAGGAGGTTCATCATGCTGCTCAAGTTGTGCAGTAGGCTGCTCAACCTGAAAAAAGATTGTACAAGATTTTGTGGAGCAACATCTTGCGGTTGAGGAGTGTTGGCATAAACTGGTGCAATGTTATGAGCTTTGAAGAGTGTGATAATTTGATGTAGACGCATGTGCAGATGACTCTGTCTCTTCAAAGTTGTAGTTCTTTGAAGAATTAGTATGTCCTACAACTGAATGCTTAATGAATTTTGCATTATGACTCTCAGCAATTCTAGTATAAGAGTGCGACAATAAAATTTATAACCCTTGGACTTTTCAGAATGTCCAATGAAATAGGAGCTAGTTGTTCTTGAATCTAGTTTTTTTCAACTGGATTGTAGATTCTAGCTTCAAATGGACAACCTTAAACATGTAAGTGAGCAAGACTAGGTTTTCTTCCAGTCCACATTTCAAAAGGTGTATTAGGCACTGATTTACCAGGAACTCTAATCAAAATATAATTTGCCGTTTTGAGTGCCTCTCCCCACAAAAAATCAGGTAGTTGTGAACTAGTAAGCATACTTCTTACCATGTCTTTGAGAGTCTTGTTCCTCATTTCAGCCATGCCATTTTGCTGTGGAGTTCTAGGAGTTGTGTACTGAGCTACTATTCCATTTTCCTGCAAGTAGATAGCAAATGGTCCATTCTATTGTCCAGCCTCTGTGTACTTGTCAAAATACTCTCCTCAAAGATCTGACCTTACAATTTTAATGTGTTTGTCCAATTTCTTTTCAACTTAAAGTTTAAAATTTTAAAGTAGTTTAAAACTTGTGACTTTTCAGAAATTAAGTACAAATAGGTATATCGAGAGAGGTCATCTATAAATGTAGCAAAGTAAGAGTTGCCACAAACGGTTCTTGTTGGAAATGGACCACACATCTGTGTGAATGGTTTCTAAAAGGTCATTACTTCTGGTTGCACCAATTTTTCTTGTATTAGTAGTTTTACCCTCGAAACAGTTTATGCAAATTTTAAAATCCTTTAAATCCAAGTTTGATAAAATGTTTTGTTTTATTAATCGAGTCATTCTATCCTTTGAGATGTGCCCCAACCTTCTATGCCAAAGCATAGAAGAGTTTTCATTAGTACGTATTCTCTTTGGTGTAGCATATTCAATGTTGAAACATTCTTGAACTTCAATGCATTGAATTTGCCATAAATCACCACTGATGAAAGCATTGAAAAAGCAAATCATTGAATTTATTATTTTAAAAAAGTTTTAAACTTTCACTGTCACCAGTGAAAGCAAAACTATCTTATACAAGACTAGATGTTGACATTCTTTCATAATTTGTTTTTAATATATTGTACTTGGGATATAAATAGTTATTGGGCAACATTTGTTAACTATTTTCCTACTTTGTATAATATTACACCATCTGGCTATCTTTGGGCCAGAAGAAACCCCCAATTTCTCTTTCTCATTCATTTTTTTTCAAGAGATTTTATTTATTAACCTATACAAATTCTATATTTCAAAGGCCAACAAAATCAACTAACAGAGTTGATGATAAATTGAAGATAAGGAGAGGTGTGTACCAAAGCCAAGACACTCTATGAAATGGTGCTTGGGCGACCACTTGGTCATTATCAAAGCACAATAAATATGGTATGCTTCAAAACTCCGCAAACTATCTTGGTTCATATGAATTTCTTAACAATATCATTAGATCCATGCCGATTCCTACATCACCTCGGGAGTTACCAATCTCCTGGGGGCAATCAATTGGATCCATGACGATCCCAACATCACCCTAAGGTTACCAATCCCCTGGAGGTAATCAATTGGGTCCATGTAGATTCCAACATCATCCCTAGCTTACCAATTCTCTTGGGCGATCAATTGGGTCCATGTCGATTCTCTACATCACCCTGAGGTTACCAATCCTCTGGAGCAATCAATTGGGTCGATGCCGATTCCCTACATCACCCCGAGGTTACCAATTCTCTAGGGGCGATCAATTGGGTCCATATCAATTCCTACATCACCCTGAGCAACCAAAACGCCAATGTCGCTCTGCACAAGAAACTATAATTACATGAGAATTTAAACTTGACTTTCTCAGCAACCAAACGAAAGCTTAAAAAAAAAAAATCTGAATCTTTTTCTTTTCTTAAAAAAATACAGAAACTAGTTCCTCCTACTGCAAATATCTTTTTCTGTCAGACTGCAAATATATGATCACCCTTCCAAGAATCCAAACCATAATAAAACATATAAAAATTGTTCAAAAAACCAAATTCTTCCTTACTCTATCAAAAAACACACAGCAGAGACAGATTGAATGGAAGAATTGTTCAAAAAAAGCAAAAATTAATTCTCAAGTTCAGAGCATAAATCCATCGGATATAGGCAAAACATTAGCTAATTAATACTCAAAATCAAACTCGCATTTTTTCTCTGTTTTTCTCTAATTCTCTCTGTTTTTCTCTTTCTTCCTTACTCTATCAAAAAACACACAGAGCACAGACAGATTGAATGGAAGAATCGTTCAAATAAAATGCAAAAATAATTTCTCAAGTTCAGAGCATAAGTATAAATTTCAAAATAAAAAAAACCCTAGAATGTACAAAGGAGAGGGAGAATTTACCTTCGGCAAGGGAGGTGGTTGTCGCTGCTGCCTCAAGCGTGCAAGTATTAGAATTGATAGGGTTTGTGCTGTGCGTGCTTGAAACAGAGAGGGGTGATGTTGTGGGTTAGGTTAGGCTTAGGTCGACGAGAGAGAAAGGAACATAGAGCCAGACGACAGAGAAAGAGAGAGAGAGAGAGAGAGAGAAGAGATGATACCTGGCGGCAGATGACAGATCGAGAGATCGATGAAGGAAGGAGCGACGCTGATGTTGTTGTTCAAAGATCCGAGGTCGATTGAAGATCTGAGCTTTGGTGAGGTGAGAGAGAGAGAGAGGCGCCGCACGCAGCCCCTTAGGTCAAAACCAGAGAAAGAAAATGAAAATAGAAGAGAGAAGAGAAGAGAAGTCTGAGTGAAAGTGAGTGAGTGAGAGTCGCGTGCGAGAGGTTACGGAAAAAGAAAATTAGTGAGGGATCCGCTGCAAGCAGCCCCACATTAATATTTTTTTAGCCAATCAAACGATGCCACGTATAAAATATATATATATTTAAATATTCACCAGTTCGATTTAGGTTCACCGGTTCTGAAATTTTTAGACCCGAGAGCCGAACCGTGGACCTTCGGTTCGGTTCAGGTCCAGGTTTGACTTTTTCGGTTTGGTCAAAAAACACTCTTTTTCGGTTTGATTTGGGTTGGTTCGGTCGGTTTGATCGGTTTATCGGTTTTTATGCCCACCCCTACCTATAAAAGGCCAATTAACCCAATAGTCCAAAAGGAGGAGAAAAAGGAGAAACAATTTTATTCTAACTCTCCTGTGATTATACTCTTACTGACTTGAGCGTCAGAGGGTTTTCTTATAGGTTCCCCCGCCCCCCTTTCCTTCTTTACGGATGGCGATTGAAATGGTGTCTGACTTCTCAACATGGAAATCATATTACTTGTTGAAGGACCCAAAATTTTCCGCTCCAACACTCTTTCTCTTTTTGGATGCTATGGACAAAATGATGAATCCTTTGGAATATGGGTCCTACATGAAGAATTTGGAAATCGGCCGAACAATAATTATTATAATGCTACTCGGACCAAACACCTTGCTTTTGATCTCACTTCGACCCACAAGCCTTTGGCATTTTGGAAGAGCGATAAGATTCTTTTGGTTTCTACATATGGTTATCTACCTCTAGTCTCCTACAACCTCCATACAAAAGCATCATCTCAGTGTCTTCCTATTCCAGGCAATCTGAATGGTTTTGCTAGGCCTGGGAACAGTTCGGGTCGAGTCTAATTTTAAGTGACCAGTGGGTTGAACCAAGTAAGATATCGGTTTTCGGGTTGAATCGGGTCCAAACTCAAAGTCGAAAATGGGCCAACCCGATAGGCTCCGATTCAGTTCTGACTTTTTGGTCGGTTTTAGGCTTTAGCCCAGTACTAGGTTTTTTTTAGCCCAACTGACTTTTTTTGGGGCAAAATCTTTTTTTTTTTTTTGTGTGTGGTCAAATTGCCAAAACCTAATTAGTTTATTTATTCAAAAGCCCAATTTTGTTAGTTTTTTCACAATGCCAATTTTTCAAACAGGCAATCCATTAAAACCCATTTCGTTTTTCCTTACCCAAATCATGTAAATTCAACTCAACTATAACCTGCTTTTTAAAAGTTTCTAAACTAAATCACAATCACAAGCATCATCCAACTATCAAATTAATTGTTTATTACAAGTTACATCCCAGGCCATAACAAAAAATATAAGTACAGCACCAAATTATATTTTACAACCCATGACAAAAAATACAAGTAAAACACCAAATTAGATTTTAAATACCAAACAGATTCACTTGTTTGATTGTATCCGTTAGGGGAGCTGAAAAAAAAACCACTTGTATCAGTTAAAAATCATTCACCAAACAACCAGAATCATACTCCAACTTGATAGTTAATTTCCCCCCAAAAAAAAAGTGTTTCCAGTTTTTGTCTCAAATCATTTAAATAGATCAAAACAAGTTATAGCACCTCAATCAACTCAAATACATAGATCAAAACACTCCTCAATCAATTATCATTCAAAACATCTTATAAGCTCTGTTGTTTCGTTTTCTTAAGAAATCTATTTCAGCCAAGGCAAACCAAATAGCTGGGAATGCCTTAATTTCCCCCAAGCCCAATACTTCAAGATGTTAAATTTTTATTTTCACCAATATTTAATCAACCAAATACAAAATGAAGCATCAATTATCAGTGCCACCGAAACAGCAGCAACATTGATGTATGAAAATGATAAAAACAACCAGTAAAAATGTTGCCAAAACACATGCATCTCAAAGAAACTCCCCAACAAAATAGATTAGCCAACAATCCAAAACTCATATAGCACAGCAGACTCATAAGGATTTCAAGAATTATGTTAGGCTAAATCATTGAATGTGGGAACACAGCTTATTACCGAAATCTCATTATTCTGGACAAGCAGTGCACACAATAAAGAAGACATTCCAGGGTAAAAACATTGTACAAAACCTTTGACACCAAGAAGGATGTGAAAATAACCGAGAGCAATCCTAACAAAATGTAAGTAGTTCACAACATAACAAAGTGTTCCAAGGATAAGTAAATGACAAGCTCCCTTTAATGGAAAAATCACAAAGTGCAACAGACCTATAAATTCAAAAACATGAGATTGCAACCAAAACAATCATCATTTGAGTTGCATAAAGCAACAACATCCACAGAAGTCTACTCAAAAGTGACTTAAGGAAACCACAAGAGACCCACAGACAACCAGGTCACATGTGGTAACATGGGTCAAATCCAAGAAAGACTAAATACCTTAAGACCAAGCCAATACTAGTGACCAATGGCTAGTATATATGACTTGTCATATGGGCTCAAAAAGCAATCTCCAAAATTACTTAGACAAGCAAACTCACAGATTTCTCAATTGTGTGACCAAACCCATGACAAACTACAATCATGACATGACAATGAAAAAACTTCATTGAAGCAAAGTATGGACTATCACAGCCAAAGAGATACACGAGAGACTACCAAGTAGTCAACAACACCAAAGTATGCACACAAATGCATACAATAAGACTCAAAACAGTCCATAACACATCAAAAGAAAGAAGCTCAAATGACATAAAGTGTTGAGTCCCCTTAAGCACACAAATGACACAACCAAAATGCAACCAATAATGCATCAATGAGACACAAAGAATGCAAGATTGGATGACTAGTCATGCGAGAAAGAAATGATTTCCAGAAAACCAGCATGACACACATTGACTCAAAGTATAGCATACAAAGAGATATCCAAGCATAATAAGTCATATTGAGATAGAAGCAACTAGAATTTGAATTAGAAAAACATCATGCAATAGAATAACATGCATCTCCAAAACATGTGCTTAGGTTATTTGGAAAAACACAAATGAGAAATAGTTGAACTACAAAGATTGACGTGCCAAAGCAATGTATGCACTCAATTCCCAAAATCAATGAGACCCATTAGTTAGAACCTCTCATGAAGCATAGAGTAAAGAGTTTGGGAAAAGAAGGTCTAATTCAATATGAGCTTCAATAATGATCATATCTCAATCTCATAATTGTGTTTGCAAAATGAGATATCATATCTCAGCTACTTTCAGTGTCAACAATGTCTCCAATTTCATAGGTATATATCATTGCCAGGAAAAATGTAAGGGGAAATGTCTGATATAATCATTTTCTGTTTTTTTTTCTGCAGTTTTGTGTTGACAATTTCTGTTTCTTTCCTCTTTTCTTTTCAGATTGAACAAGAAAAAGAAAAGCCACGCCCAACTTGTTTATTGTATTTGTATTGTGTTTTTATTGCTTTTCTATTGCCACTTTATTGCTTGTTTATTGCTATTGTATTGCATGTCTGTTACCACTTCATAATCTACATGCCATTACTTTCGTATTGTTTTTGTTTATTGCTTTTTGGTTGGTTTTCTTAATTAATATAATTTGTTGCAGGGAAAGCAACTATGAGTTTGATTTATAAAAAGGACGTGACGTCCTTAATGGTATCACATTCTTACAATAATAAATAATCAATAAAAATCAATAATGGAATCACATTCTTACACCCAAGATGTAAGCAGTTCACAACATAACAAAGTGGTCCAAGGACAAGTAAATGACAAGCTCCCTTGAATGAAAAAAAATCACAAAGTGCAATAGACCTATAAATTCAAAACATGAGATTGCAGCCAAAACAATCATCATTTAAGTTGCATAAAGCAACAACATCCACAGAAGTCTACTAAAAAATGGCTTAAGGAAACCACAAGAGACCCACAGACAACCAGGTCACATATGGTAACATGGGTCAAATCCAAGAAGGACTAAATACCTTAAGACCAAACTAATACCAGTGACCAATGACTAGTATATGACTAGTCGTATGGGCTCATAAAACAAACTCCAACATTACTTAAACAAGCAAACTCACAGATTTCTCAATTGTGTGACCAAACCCATGACATGTCAATTAAGAAGCTTTACTAAAGCAAAGTATGGACTATCACAGCCAAAGAGACACAAGAGAGACTACCAAGTAGTCAATGACTCCAAAGTAAGCTCACAACCACATCAAAAGAAAATAGCTCGAATGACATAAAGTGTAGAGTCCCCTTAAGCACAACAAATGACGCAACAAAAATGCAACAAATAATGCATTAGTGAGACACAAAGAATGCTAGATTGGATGATTAGTCATGTGAGGTAGAAATGATTTCCAGAAAGGTAGCATGACACACATTGACCCAAAACATAGCATACAAAGAGATATCCAAGCATAATAAGCCATATTGAGATAGAAGCAACTAGAATTTGAATTAGAAAAACGTCATGCAATAGAATAACATGCATTTCCATAACATGTGCTTAGGTTATTTGGAAAATCACAAATGGGAAATGGTTAAACTACAAAGATTGACATGCCAAAGCAATGTATGCACTCAATTCCCAAAATCAATGAGACACATAAGTTAGAACCTCTCATGAAGCATAGAGTAAGGAGTTTGGGAAAAGAAGGTCTAATTCAATATGAGCTTCAATAATGATTTCCAAGAGTTGCATGAGACTTTCCAAGCATCAAATCTAATATAAGTTCTAGAAATCAAGGCATAAACCCTACCAAGAAATGTGACCCAAAAGTTGACATTTATCAATATTTTAGAAAGGCATAGCACACTTGCTTGTACAATTTTGCTTTTCTATTTGTTGGTGTACAATGCTCTTCCAAGCACTTTTACCTTTAAAAAATGAAGTATAGCACACTTGCTTGTCCGAAAATGCTTTTTCTATATTTGTGGACAATTCTTTTCCAAGGCTTTTACTCCAACAATTTATTTGCATTTTGATTTCCAAATGGATCAAAAGATCAAGGTAAAGAGACAACTACAAGTGATCTTAGACACTTTATAGATAGCTCAAAGCATATCATGCAACACAAG